AGAAACAACACTTGGTGTTAGTTTCGATGTGTAGCCCCGGTACTTGGTACCGAGGGGTCTTCTGTAGGAACACTTGGTGTTCTCTTTTGTCGTAGTTGATGTAGGCGTCTACCCTCGGTACTTGGTACCGAAGGGTCTTCAAATGAAACACTTGGTGGTTCCCAACAGATGTTTGGAAGTTGATAGGAGAGCATATCCCTGGCACTGGGTGCCGAGGGGTCTTCTTTGAAACATTTTGGTGTTTTTTTCTTCGTTTCGATGTTTGATGATGGAGGTGTACCCTCGGCACTGGGTACCGAAGGGTCTTCTGTAGGAACACTTGGTGTTCTCATCTTTTCTTTTTTGATGATGAAGGTGGGAAGGTACCCTCGGCACTGGGTGCCGAAGGGAAATGAAACACATGGCGTTCCTCGTTGTTGGTGATAGGAGTTCCCTCCCTCGGTACTTGGTACCGAGGGGTCTTGACTGAAAACACGTGGGGTTTTCACCGTTGTTGTAGGTGTAGATGGTGTCCGCCCTCGGCACTTGGTGCCGGAGGGGGTTCTTCTCGTGGTGAAGCCCGGGGCCTGTAGTCAGTATGAGGGCTTGATGTCTTGAATGTATCTTCATTCTTCGAAATTGGAGGCCTTGGGCCATAGGATAGTACATTCACTAGTTATGAGGGCTTGGCCGCTCTTACATTATTGATAAAATTTAACTAAATCGTGTACATTCCAATGCCTAGGGACTTCTTTCCCGTTGGGGCGTTTGAGCTTGTAGGTCCCAGGTTTGATGATGGCTGCTATGATGTAGGGGCCTTCGAATTTTGGTGCCATTTTTCCTCCCTCGGTTGGTTGGCTGGCTTCCCTCCTCCGGAGGACATAGTCCCCCACTTGAAATTCTCGGGTGCGAACTTTGGCGTCGAGGTAGCTTTTAACTTGCCTTCGGTAGTTTTCTGCCCGGATGAAGGCCTGCTCCCGGCGTTCTGAAATGAGGTGGAGGTCGAGGGCCATGTTGCTGTCGTTGACCTTGGGGTCATATTGGATCACCCTTCGGGTGGGAAGGGTGACTTCCGTAGGAGCTTTGGCTTCAAAACCGTAGCAGAGGGAAAAGGGTGTTTCACCTGTTGCTCGCCGAGGGGTGGTGCGATAGGCCCAAAGGATGTTGTGGAGTTCTTCCACCCAGCCACCGCCCTCGGCCTCTAGCTTCTTTTTGAGGCCCTCGAGCAAGGTCCGGTTGGCATTCTCTACTTGCCCGTTGCCTTGAGGGTAGGCAACGGAGGAGAAGGTGTGTTTGATGCCCCATGCCTCCAGAAGGGCACAGAAGGGGGCTGCCTCAAATTGTGTCCCATTGTCGGAGATGATCTGCTGGGGGACGCCAAACCTTGTGAGGATGTTCTTGAGGATGAAGTGATGGCACTTCGCCTCTGTGATGCTGGCGAGGGGTTCAGCCTCCACCCACTTGGTAAAGTAGTCGACGGTCACGATGATGGGGGCATCGTGTTGTTGGAGGTGCCCCTCGGCAGAGGGCCCACAAGGTCTATCCCCCATCGAGAAAAGGGGACAGAGGTGCTGATGGGGGCATAGTTGACCGATGGCCTGCCAGGAGCCTTCTGGAAATGTTGACATGCGGTGCACCTCCGGGCAAGGTCAGCACAATCCCTGGCCATGGTTGGCCAGAAGTAGCCCTGGAGAATGAGCCTTCGGGACATGGAGAAGGGTCCCTGGTGAGCTGAGCAAGTGCCGTTGTGCACTTCCTCCATTGCGACCTCGGCTTCATCTCGATGAAGGCACCGAAGTAGCGTGTCATTGTAAGATCGTTTGTAGAGCCTTCCACCTTCGATGGTGTAGCTAGGAGCCCTCAGCTTTGTTAGTTTAGCGCGGGCCTCATTCTCGGGTAGCTGCCCTGTGGAGATGAAGGCGGTGATATCTGAGATCCAATCTTCCTGACGTTGTTGTATGTTCATAACGGGGCTTGCATGGATGCTTGAGAGGCTGAGTTCCTCAATTTTAGCAATTTTGGAGATGTGCTCGGGGGAGTCGGCCGAGAGCTTAGATAATATGTCGGCCTCGGAGTTCTGAGCCCTCGGTATTTGAGTGAGAGAGTGTGCCTCGAATACCTTAAGCAACTCCTTGGCCGCTTCCTTGTACTGTTTCATTCTCCCCTCCATGGCCTCATATTCTTCGGAGATTTGGCCCACGACCAACTTGGAGTCGCATTTGATGTGGATCTGCCGAGCCCTCATGTTGGCAGCCAGCCGAAGGCCACATAGGAGGGCCTCATATTCGGCCTCATTGTTGGAGACCTTGAAGGAGAAGCGGATTGCATAGTAGGCCCTGAAGCCCTCGGGAGTAATGAGGACTACCCCTCCCCCGCATGCTTTGGTCGCGGAGGAGCCGTCAGTGTAGAGGGTCCACCAGTCGTCCGAGGTAGCCGAGGGCTCCCCGTCCGTGGCTGCCCTTGCGGTACATTCCGTCACAAAGTCCGCCAGGGCTTGGCCCTTGATGGCAGGCCTTGGACGGATGTCAATGTTGTACTGGCTCAAGAAGATAGCCCATTTCACCATGCGGGAGGAGCTGGTGGGGCTCCTCATGAGGGCGCCGAGGGGTTGATGGGTGAGGACCTGAACCGGGTGAGCCTGAAAGTAGTGGCCCAACTTCTTGACAGTCCAAACAATGGCTAACACCGTTTTTTCCACAGGGGAGTACCTGAGCTCGGCCTCCCTTAGGGTCTTGCTAACGTAGAAGATGGCATGTTGGACGTCGTCTTCCTCCCGGATGAGCACAGAGCTGATGGCCGCCGGGCTAACCCCAAGGTAGAGGGTCTCCCCTACCTTGGGTTTGGAGAGCACAGGAGGTGAAGATAGATATCGTTTGAGCTCGTCGAAAGCCCCCTGGCATTCTGGAGTCCATAGAAAGCCATCCGTCTTCCTCATGATCTGGAAGAAGGGTAGAGACTTCTCCGCCGATTTAGATAGAAAGCGGTTGAGGGCTGCCAGGCGGCCCGTCAACCGTTGAACTTCCTTCACGTTGCGTGGGGGCTCCATGTTGATGATGGCCTGGATCTTCTCGGGATTGGCCTCAATACCCCTTCGGCTCACCATGTAGCTTAAGAATTTGCCTCCTTGGACGCCAAAGGTGCACTTCTTCGGGTTTAGCCGAAGGTTGAATTTTTGCATGATGGCGAAGATTTCCCGGAGGTCGTCAGCATGGCTGGAAGATTGTTTGCTTTTGACGATCATGTCGTCAACATAGGCCTCCATGGTGCGCCCTAGGACGGCTTGAAAGACCCGGGCCACCATCCGGGTGTAGGTGGCCCCTGAGTTCTTTAGGGCGAAGGCCATGACTAGGTAGCAGAAGATGCCCTCGGGAGTCATGAAGGCAGTTTTTTCGGCGTCTTCCTCGTGCATGAAAATTTGGTGATACCCTCAGAAGGCATCGAGGAAGGACAAGATCTCACACCCTGCGGTCTCATCCACTAGTTGATCAATATTTGGTAGAGGGAACGGGTCCATATGGCACGCCTTGTTGAGATCGGTGTAGTCCACGCACATGCGGAAGGTAGGGGGCTTCTGTGCGAGGACTACATTCGCCAGCCATGAGGGATATTTCACCTCCTTGATGTGCTTAATGGAGAGGAGCATGGCGACCTCCTTCTTCACAAATTCCCTCCTCTCGGCGGAGAGGGGTCTTCTTCGTTGTTGTACGGCCTTTGCCGAAGGGTCCACCGAGAGGCGGTGGGTGATGACCCTTCGGCTGATTCCCGGCATGTCCTCCGGCCCCATTGCAAAGACAGTGAAGTAGGCGCGGAGGGCGTCGGTGATACCGGTCTTCAAATCTTCAGGGAGCTGGGCTCCAATCTTCACGACTCTCTCCGGCTGGGCCGGATCGACTTCGCCTCTGTGTTGTTGGAGGTGCCCCTCGGCAGAGGGCCCACAAGGTCTATCCCCCATCGAGAAAAGGGGACAGAGGTGCTGATGGGGGCATAGTTGACCGATGGCCTGCCAGGAGCCTTCTGGAAATGTTGACATGCGGTGCACCTCCGGGCAAGGTCAGCACAATCCCTGGCCATGGTTGGCCAGAAGTAGCCCTGGAGAATGAGCCTTCGGGACATGGAGAAGGGTCCCTGGTGAGCTGAGCAAGTGCCGTTGTGGGATATATCCGAAGGGTTATTACGGGGAATAACTTAGAGAGAAGTCAGAGCAAGTGGGTAAAAGTAGAGAGAGAGTGTATTCAGTATGAATGCCGTTTTCAGCGTGGTTACAAATGAGGAAATGGGGTGCTATTTATAGTAGCAATAAATGCCGGACAGGGACACGTGTCAAGCGCTCATTGGCCGAGGGGTCACCACAACTGGTTGGCGCTGGCAGCCGCATGTGGCCGCATTTAATGCGGCTGTTGGATGGGACGTCTGTGCAGGGTACGGTGATCTGCACGCATGTGAGGCGGATATCTTGTCGAGTGAGATGCCTTCGGCTATAGAGCAATGGCCGAAGGCTCCTCCAACCGATGGCACTCTGGTGCCGAGGGCTCACAGTGCCGAGGGCTACTGTTTTCGCCGTTTTCTCCCAGTTTCTTAATTTGCTTGCGAAGCCCGTCCTGTGAGAGTTTAGAGCCTTCGGCCAGGGGGCCGAAGGCACCCCTGGCGCGTAGTGCGGGCTGCTTGGTACTCTGGGCGCTGTGATCTGGGCCTGTTGGGCCTTCTGGGTCTGTTGAGCCTTCGCTGGAGTAGTAGGAGTCTGTGGGCCGGGGGTTCCCGGACCATATACTCCATCACCGTATTTGTTAATTGGGCGTGACTCTCTAAATTAGCATATAATTATTCTTCAAATTTAATCGTGCTAATAATATTTTTTATTTTAAATTCTAACAATGCATTCGTACGAACGTATTAGTCGACGTTACGTTGTTGGTTCCATTGAAATATATATTAATACGAAGTACTATACTAATTACTAATAATTAACTATTAACCTACTTAATTTACTTAGCTTTCACAGATATAATTGACCACGGTCAACAAGCTAGCTAGGTCTGGTGGGTGGTGGAGATCCCTTGAGAAATGCCTTGAAAAGTATAAGAGCCTCGGAGGGAGATGAATATGGCACAAAATTTGCTCCACCTTTTACTGTTGCAAACGTTAATTGTATTACTGTTTTACCTTTCTTCAATCTTCCATATGTTTGGCTCCACCCTCCAATCTAAAAAAACAATCGATATTAATCACGATGGATAGATATACTTTCTCCGTTCCATAAAAGTTGCAACATTGGAATTTCTGCACTATTCACACACCTTACTTTGACTATGATTTTCTAATAATATATATAATAAAAATATTATGTATAAAATATTAATTAATTTGTATTAGTGTAAATTTCCAATATATTAACTTTTTTTAATGTTTACTAATACGTAAATAAATACAATTACAGTCAAAGTTGCGCGTTGGCAAACATGAAAGTCAAATTGTTGCAACTTTTATGGAACGGAGGATAGTATATGTTAGGACTATAATAAGATAAATTTCCTAACAAAATTGGCCTAGAATAAAAATAATACCAAGTACATATGATAATACCAATCTGAGAAAAACAGGTCTCACATTTCAATATGGTAACTAATTAATTGAGAAACTAAAAGTGCGATTTTCCCTAGAATATTACGATGGTATATTGTTATCACTCTAATTTCGGGAAATTTCCCTACTCCCAAAGTAAAGATAAAACAACACAAAAGTGCTCCAGTAATAGTTTATAGGGGGAATTTGACTTTGCACCCCATTTTTTGTGTGATATTGGACTTTGCACCCCATTTTCAAAAAACTTTGACTTTGCACCCCAACACATACCATTTGTGAAGAAAAAATTCTAAATGGGGTGCAAAGTCCAAGGAATTTTAAGTGGAATGGGGTGCAAAATCAAAGTTTTTTCAAAATGGGGTGCAAAGTCCAATATCACCCAAAAAGTGGGATGCAAAGTCAAATTCCCCCTAGTTTATATATATTATAGGATTATAGAAATATGAGTTGTAAAATAAGAGAGACTGTTAAAGTATTTGTTCCACACTAGAAAGCTACTCCCTCCGTCCCGCTAAGATTATCCCATTTTACCTTTTCGGGAAGTCCCACTAAGATTGTCCTATACCAAATTTGGTAAAGTTTGTGTGGATCTAAACAATTCTTGCTTTATTCTTACTTTATCAATTTAATATCAACCACACAACCCCACTTTTCTTAATAATCGTGCCACCTTCTCTCGTCCCAATCTTAGTGGGACGGAGGTAGTATAAGACAATAAAATATTATATAAGATTGTGAGCTCCTCCTCCTATCAGGTTGCCTTTTAGGATGGAATCCCGAGTCTTAACATGGTATCAAAGCCATTTACGGTTGTGGTTTGATAGCTTGTTTAGCACCCCTAATTAAGGGTAGCTTGTTAAGAGTCTGTTTGACCCATTTTTGCACCTAGATATATATTGTCCAACCCGGTTCGAGCGTAGGGGGCTTGTTAAAGTATTTGTCATACACCGGAAAGCTATAAAATAATAAAATACTATATAAGACTTTGAGCTACTTCTCATAACAGGTTGACCTTTTAGAATGAAACCTCAGATCTTAATAGAGATATTGAGACTAGACACGAAAAATTGAGAACATAACAAACCGAATTTAGAACTTAGAGCATCTACAATGGTTTCTTTTGAGTACTTGCTTACAATTTTAAAGCTAATACTTTACCATTGGAGCATTGCTTTTCATTTTGCTTGACAAAATTAATTAGTCAAAATGAGCTACTAGCTTGAGCAAAGAGAATTACTAAATATAACAATATTAGTAATAAATGAAGAGGAATTGAAGATGTTATACCTAATCATTGGAGTATATTTTAATTTTGCTACAAATGTTTATGTGGCTAATCTAGCTATAATTATTATTATCTAACAGCTGGAGATGCTCTTAAGAAGTTTAGATTAAATCCCAAGAATATAGCTAGAGTTAAAACAAGCACTAGGCCAATAAAGCTCAATAATCAATACTACATTATTAGGGAAGTATTTATGCGAAGACTATGTGGTTCAAAGCCTCAAACCAGTGACAATTTTTTTTTTCATTTTTTTAGTTTTTCATTTTTCATATTTAACTCAGCTTGCTAATATAATTATTCTTAATTGATAGAAGCAAATATTATTGTATTGTTTGATTGAAAGTACAAAAGTACTTTTTGAGTTAACTTGGTCCAAAAAAGGTGGAATCTCCCACCCTAGGAGCCCCCCATACCCCGACCCGACAGGATTTTTGGGAGGATGTTAATCACGGTGACTCAGTCGGCCCAATGATGGTAGGCCTTTTTCCCGTGCGCACCAGAGGCCCAACCTTATTTCAGGTTCTGTGACCTCCACACGACCGCTGCGGGTTTCGAACCTTGGTCACTTGGTCCAAATTTCCCACCGCTGAACCAACTGAGCTACCCGTGCGGGTACTTTTTGAGTTAACAAAATTGTTCATAGAATCAGTTTTTTAGAAGTCGGTGGAGATCAGTTTCTCAAAAAGTGATTGTGATATTATTTCTACTTCAATAGTTTCTTAATATGACCAGTTCCGTAAGTTACCTGCTTGCCATTGTACCAAGGCCTATTGTTGTGCAAAGTGTTGAGCTTCAAGTCTCTTGCAATCTTGCTCGCTATTTTCCTGGTCTGTGTAACAGCTACCATTAAATCTTGATCTCCACTGCAAAATATATTATTCTTGATCATCATACAATTTTTTATTAACACAACTTCGATTTTAGGTTATGAATTATGGCGACTTTTTTATTTAGGGTATGTTTGACACAACTAGATGAAAAAATACTTTTATGAGCTTTTTAGTAACTGTTAGCTTTTAGAGACTGAAAACATCGTAAAAAGAAAAGGCAGTAGCTGTTTGGTAAAAAGCCGACTGTTTGATTTAGCTCTGTTTGATATACAAGCTGTTAGGACTAATTAATGCTAGAAGCTACGGACTTATCTGTGATGCTACTCACTGTAGCATCTCAAAAAAGATCTTTTATTTTTATAAAAACTCTTAAAAATTGGCGTGTCAAACATACAACTAGAAGCTTTTAAAGACTTTTTAAAAAGTACAAAAGCTAGAAGGCAGGAACTTATGTCCGCCAAACATAGCCTTAGTCGTTCTAAAAAGAGCTATAAAGGCCATATGGACAATATGGAGTACATATTTTAGAAAGAATATATACTCCCTCCGGTCCTTAATTAACTTTACACTTTCCTTTTTGAGTCGTCCCATATTAAACTTTACACTTCCTTATTTGCCTTATTTGACAAATAAATCTACACCAAACAATGCCAAATAGTGTCAAATAGTGCCAAACAGTGCACTCTACAGTAAAGTCAAATTTATTTTCTTAATATGTGTGAAGTCAAAGTGTAAACTTCATTAAGGATCGGATGGAGCAGTAATTAGTAACCTGTAAAGCATAACTCGGATATGCCTCTTCAGAAGTGCTGACACAGTGGGTATGACGTCATTAGCATACATTTCTAAGTGCTTATAATCGGTACCCCTGCATGTATGCATGTTCTTAAACACCAACACACACTAGTACTTCTTGATTAAGAAATTAATTAAAAATATGCCAAAAATGCCAAAATAGGAGTACATGTTTCAAATTACCAAAAACAAGATTTTCAATTATTATTTGTTACCATGTAGAGTTTGGAGTTACATTTCAATCACACTCTACCAAACGTCTCAAAATTTTAGGGTTAGTTTTTCTAGGGTTCACTTGATGGAGCCGTCGAGAGGGAAACGGATCGGATGCCGGATAAAGGATTGACCTTCATGTACACTAAAGGGCAGTTTTGCATACTCATAACTTTTTACTCATATTTTGGAATTTGTATACATTTATTTCAACTTAAGAGAGCGTTTGGTATGAGGTGAAATTACTATTTCACATGCAAAGTGTAGGGATGTAAAAAGGTTACATTGTTTGGATGGAGTATTATATTTAATGTAAATTGTAGGGCACTTTTTAAAAATACTTCGCACTGTATCATGTAAAGTATTTTACGTTGGGGATGGTGATAAAACATTTTGCATGCTTTTTATAAAGCACTGCAACGCCTTTGCTTAGAAATTAAAAAGGAATTACACATCTAGTCAAACAATGTAATATATTTTACATGTAAAATGATTGTTTCACTAAACTTTGCATGTCATACCCTTCACAATACATGTTCCATGAATATGGCAAGCCGGTGGAATTGGCATGTAAAGCTCTTTGAACTTGTGGGTTGTTCATGTACGTGTCTAGCTTCTCATCAATGCAAGGATCGCTATTACTTGTGTTTTCACTGTCCTCGTGCATTTGTACTCGGAAGACTGAAGAGGGTTAGAAATAAAGTTGTTAAATATTTGGTAAAGTTCCCGAAATATGAGTAAAAACATTTGAGAATTGTAAAATAGAAGTGATGTGTTTTTCTTCCCTATATAGCTATGTTTAAAAATTCAGACAAGGAAGCGACCCGACCACATGACCGGGTCACGGGTCAACCCGATCAATGCTGAAAATCCGGTCAACAATTATGCGACCATATAAAAATAATAAACATATAATTAATTATATACAAAATTTTAATAAAATGTACGTACAAAGTAGTTTTTATTCATAATAATCAACTAATGGTAATACTTATTAAGAATTTAAAACACTCTCATAGTATTCTAAAATACCATTTATACATAGTAATATAATTTGACATGATATTCGTTCTTACATAAATATATGAATATAGTACATATTTTTTCTTCTTAGGGTATTTAAATTTCAATTTTATAGGTTAAAAAATTCTTTAAAAATTTAAATAAGTGTCAATGGTTTTCAAAAAAAAATCAAAACAGTGTTTCCAGGGTTCCCGGGTTGTTTGGTTCCGGTTTCGGACCGTGTTTCCCTGAGTAAACCTGGTTGTTTTTTCAATTTTAGCAATTTTCGATTTTTCCACTAACTGAACCGAGTTTTGGTCTGGGTCACTGAGTTCCGGGTCCACCCAGCCGGTCCGAGTCGGATATTTAATTATAGCTAAATAGAAGTGCGTCACGACCATACGTTCTGAAAATTTACTGTCATGTTTTGACATTATGTGACTTTAAACAATGACAATAAACAACCGAAAGTGACAGTATTTTTCAAGTTTGATAGTAATTTACTCCTAATTGTTCCAAAAAATAAAAAAATGACTAATTCTGTCCACATATAAAATTATGTTCATAAGTACTTCAATAATTTTAGGCAGTCACATACCAAAGTGCCAATACACCAATAAAGCAAAAATAGAATGACCAAATAAATTATAGAAATTACTCCAAATGGGACTAAAACTATGGCAAAAACTCAAAATAGGACTTACTATGTTTTTCTTTTCAAAATAGGACCAAATTAGTCCTATTGGAAACATACCTATTTTTTCCTTCCATTCTTACCCTTCCTTTAAATATGAGAATTAAATGTTTAATTCATAATAAATTCGAAAAAAAATCAAAAATTCGTAGAAAAATAATTAAAAAATATATAAAATATTTATAAAATAAAAAATTAAAAAAGAAATTTAATTTTTTTTAAAAAAAATTAATAAAAAATAGTAAAACTCCATAAAAAAAATAAAAAAAAATATGGATGCCTTTCCCACCGCCTGAACTACCTCCCTGCACCACCATCTCCGGGCGGTGAAAAAAATGCCATTTTTCCTAAAAACTGCCATTTTTTTTCCTGAAAATGCTAAAAACATGGCATATTTCTCTTTGAGAATGCCAACATTTTCATTATTTTCTGCCATAAATATGGCATTCGTAATGAACTTGGCATTTTTTTCCCGGTGACTGGAGGTGGTGGTGCAGAGGCGGCAGAGGCGGCGGTGAATTTTATTTTATTTTTTTGAGTTTTTTATTTTTTTAATTTTTTTTTAATTTTTTTATTTTTTGAAAAAAAATAAATTAATTAATTATTATTATCAAAATATTTTTATTAGTTTTTTAGTATTTTTTACGAATTTTTATTATTTTTTATTATTTTATTATGAATTAAAACATTTCAATAACTAGAAGGGTATATTTGTCCAAGACACACATAATTAGTCCTATGAAAACATAGTTTAGTTTTTGGTCCTATTTGTGCAAAGTGAGTGACTTTTAGTCCTATTTTGATAATTAACCCAATAAATTAATATTGACCGAGACCGAATAACTCTTTTGCTTAAATTTAATAGGAGTACAATTTTAATTTATAATATTATTTACTCCCTCCATCCCTAAATTATTTTCAAACTTTCCTTTTTCGTCCGTCCCAAAATTATCTCATCTTCCCCCTTTTAGCAAAAAATTTGTGGTTTACAACCATTCTTACACATTCTTACACATTTCTCTCTCCTCTGCACAACTCTCCACCACACAAATCCCACTATCTTAATAAATGTGCCCAGCCTAAAAGGGAGAAAGATTAGGGACGGAGGGAGTACCATGATTTGCCTCAAATGTGTGCAATTCTTGTTCATAGGTTGAACAGGTTGATTTATCATGTACATGTATATAATACTAATAGTTTTTCTAATTCGGAGCCTCGAAGGCCCTAGAAATCAGGGTCCTAGACACTTGTCTAGGCAAAATGCCTCCATGGCCGCCCGGAATAAAGTACTCTTATCATGTACGTACTTATTCTTATTTATCTGTACATAGAGAAAATTCCCCAAATATAAGTAAAAGATAACATAATTTTTCAAAAAAAGTAGACTTATTTTCTTCCAAATATGACTTTTGCATTCCTTTTTTGGAAATTTTTTATTCTTTTGTTGTTTAAATATACAGGACTATAAAAATCCTATTATGGGAATTGCAAACATACATAGGTGAGGAACTTTAAATAGAAATGGGGGAGTAGAGTACGTACATTTCCAACATATTTGGTAGAGAGGCAAGCTGGCGACAACATATTGTCCATATTTACATCCCCAATCTATTTGATCACAATTTCAGTCATTTTTCTGCAATTTTTAGTCACATTTCCAAGGGCCAGCTCAGTAAAATAGGTTCCCATGCTACAAACCGTCTTTTGCATATGGAACGTTTCTTCTGAGATTAATCCCCGGTACCACATATTTTCAACATAAGATAAACTGTACTTGATATCCAGAACTGGGTTCCCAAGCTGATCGATATTAAGCAATAATAATTAATAGAGGGGAAATTAAACAAACATGATCAAACAAATAAATAAATAAATAAGCTTCTATGCATGTTATTATTGAAATTAAGTGGGACTCACAACAATTCCTTTAAGCTTGATAGGTGGCTTCCCATGTGAATTTTCATTGTATTCAAGTATAACAGCTGCTAGCTGTGATGCTAAATGACCTGAAACAATTTTATTTTGTATACAAATTCTGAATAAACAAGCTGATTATTTGACTTCTCTTAAGGTCTGGGGTTCCATGCTAAAAGGGCATTTTTTTAATGGTGTGGTCATTTTTCATAAGGTGGCTCACACCATGGTTATGGATCGGTTTGATTCTGATACCATGTTAAGGTCTAAGGTTCAACATGATAGGAGGAGTAACCTATGTCTTAATATAACACTTTGTTGATTCAAACTTTTCCGGTGTGAGATTCTAACAACTTCCATGCAAGTTTATCTTATGATTTATTAATACTAAGCTACTCGGGAAATTGCATATATATTTAGTCCCCAAGTAACCAAGTTTATATTTAGCCCCCTAATTTATGTATGTTTCCATTATTAGTTATTTAACTTCAGTCATTTGCAGTCGTGTAACTAATAAATGTGTTGATGTCAAGGACATTGCTGCTAGTGTGTACTATTTCCAATGGAGAAATAGAATCGTGCATCTTTTATATACTGAAAAGTACAGGAAAAGTAATTAACATTGACGCTTTTATTAGTTAAACACGATTAGATCTGTAAGTATGCAAATTTATAGAGTAATAAAGGAGGAAATTACCAAAATACGGGGTTTTCCCGTCTGAGTACCGACAAAAATAAATGTAGAGTACCGACAAAAATAAATAAATACCTAGTCGGAATTGTGGAATCCGACTAGGGATTTGAATTTTTTTGTTTCCATTATTTGTTTAATCCCAATGAACTAAAAAAATAAAAAATAAATAAAACCTAGTCGGAACTGTGTAATCCGAACAGGGTGTTTGATTTTTTTTGATGTTTAATAATGTGTAATGAGAAGAAATAAAAAAATAAATAAAAACAAAAAAAAACATGTCGGATAGCCCACATCCGACTAGGGATGTTGTTTAAAAATTCTATATTTGAAATTACATATATTTTGTTTTATTTTAAGAAATTTGATAAATTAAATTTTATAAATTAAATTTTTATTTTAAGAAATTTTATATTCGAGATAAATTTTGTTTTATGTAAGGGGTAATTTGAGTTTGCACCCCACTTTATTGTCGAAATTAGACTTTGCACCCCGTTTTTGAAATCTTTAGTATTTGCACCCCAACCCCGTATGAAAAGACAAAAATGCCCCTCGATCAGAAATATGTTGAAGGCCAACAAAATTGTTAAGTGAGGGGTATTTTAGTCTTTTCATACAAGGTTGGGTTGCAAATACTAAAGATTTCAAAAATGGGGTGCCAAATCTAATTTCGACAATAAAGTGGGGTGCAAACTCAAAATACCCCTTTATGTAAATCATAACGTTAGAAGTATTTATTAGATAAAATTGATAATCAGATAAAATTTAATTAGATAAGTTCAATCAGATAAAATGAATGAGATAAAATTTTATCATATATAATTCAATCAAAATTCAATATTCTATCCAACCATATCTGTACAAAAATAAAGTGACGCATAATTCAATACTTTATGTGTGAGATTATAAAACCTCCAATTTTACCCAATAAGGACACAATCATTCAAATATTATGCAATCAGCCTATATCATGAACACGAGTTGTGAAATTGACCACGAGTTCCTTAATATAGAGATGACAATTTAATATTAACACTTGTGATTCACATATTGTAGAACCGGATGATTAAAACCCCAATTCAACCTAGTAAGGATACAATATTATGAAATGCAATTAACATATATCATGAACATGATTGTGAAATAGACCACGAGTTACCTAATATATAGGTGAAATTTTAATATTCATACTTGTGATTCACATTTTTTAGACCCGAATCATAAAATCCCCTATTCGATCCAGTAGGGATACAATCATTTGTAATGTAATCATCCTGTAGGAGGAGGAGTAGTAGTAGTAGCAGTAGTAGTAGTAATACCATCACGAATTTAGCCATACATCGTGAT